AGGCCTCTCTCATCTTTTTAAGTGGGAGAACCTGCACAATTGGTGGCTGCCTAAATACTTTTTTGCCCCACTGTACATCTTCACCCCTGCCCTGACAGGTGATGCAGTTGTGGTGTTGACCAAGTGCCTGGAGGCTGTGAGGGTCAGGATGGGGAGGAACTGACTTTGACTCAATCTTGGCAAGGCGGAGTGGCTTTGGGTTTTCGCCCCCACAGGGTCTGGTGATATGTCATCTTTGACTCTGGATGGGATTGCATTTCCCCGGACTGAGTTGGTGCACAATTTGGGGGTCCTCCTGGACTCACAGCTCCTGCTTGGAGAGCAGGTGGCAGCTGTGAGGGGGGGGGGCCTTTGCACAGATTCATCTTGTGTGCCAATTGTGCCCTTTCCTGGACCAGGAGGCCTTGCTCACAGTCACTCAGGCTTTGGTCAGTTCCCGTTTGGATTATTACAACATGTTCTACATGAGGCTGCCCTTGAAGAGACCCAGAAACTACAATTAGTCCACTATGCAGCAGCATATGCAATGTTGGGTCCCTCTAGGTTCACCCATGTTACACCCCTGTTGTGTGAGATGCACTAGCTTCCAGTTTCCTTCTGGGTGTAATTCAAAGTGCTGGTCATTACCTTTAAAGCCTACATGGTACAGGACCAGGCTGTTTGTGGGATCACCTCTCCCTGAAGGTATCTGCCTGTCCCGCTAGGTCAGATAGGATGGATACTCTTCAGGTCCCTTCCATGAAATATTGCCATCTAGTAGGACCTAGGAAGCATACCCTTTCTGTGGCTGCCCCTACCTTATGGAACACGCACCATATTAAACTTGAACTGATTAGGAGAAGAGGTTATAGCTTACCCTGTTCCATGTTTTGTTGCCTTTTGATAGGTGAACTTTGAAAATAGTGTTCCCTTTTTCTTCAAATTACAATCTGGTACAATCCATCCTATCACATTTTGACTCTAGCTGCCTCATTCTATTTCAGGTGTAGGTAAGATCTTAGTAGGGAGAGTATGGACTCTTTATTGTTCTATATCATTGTTGTGCCCAGGCAGAAACTGTAATGGCACCCTCTTATAATTTGCATGGGACACACCCCACCAGAAAATTCTTTTGCATAAGCTCTATTTGGTAGTGTTCTTGCACAACTGCTATTTGTTAAAACAGCCTTTCTGAACTGGGATTCTGCAAATCCTAGGAATCCATGAGAGATTGTATCTGAAAAAAGATAAGCATAGTTTATTTTTTAAACTTTGTACTGTGCAATGATAGGGTATGCGGCGGTGGAAATTTTTACACCCTGAAACTCTGCTGCCAGCCTGCTGCTTTGCTGTCATTGTAAACATTATAAAACATGGATTATGTAGGTTAGGGTTGTAAGTGAATGGTATTGTGAAGTTTTCAGGTTTTTTGCCATTTTTATGCAGGGATTCTCTGAGATCTGAGAATTATTTCAAGGGTACTTCCAGGGTAAAAGGTTGAGAAAGACTGCATTAAAGCAAAACTTGCCCAGTGAACGATTGCATTTCACCAGTTTTCTTTTTCCAGATGTGCATTACGGGATGAATTTGGCTGCCCTGTGGATCAGAAACCCAGGTATTTTTTTTTTTACTTCTTTCTCTTATCTCATTTTTCTATCATGAATTCAAAATAATGTACTTAGAGCCTACTGTGCACAAAGGGGGAGGTGTCTAAAAGTTATTGGATTTTGTGTGAATAAAAGCCACAATAATAGCCATGACTGTAGCAGTCAAAATAGGCAGGTTGGTAGCCATAATACTGAAATGCAACCCTGGCTCCTTTTGTATAGGTGTGCAGGACTTGGAGTATGACACTGTACCTGCCATCTTGACACCCCATACCAATGCTATTGCATGACTATATCTCATTATAGTCTTTCAGAATACTGAAAGACTTCTTTTATTTTAAGAAAATAAAAGTATATTACTAGCCCTTTTGGTTACACAGAAAACATTTCATGGCTGTTTCGACAGTACAGTGTACTTGTGTATTGAAAGTGCTTCAGAAATTACAAAAAGGAAAGCTTATTTTGAGTTAAGCTCAATTTAGGGACATATCCAGGCCGTTTTCTTGGGGGACAGCATGAAAGTGCTGCCTTTGGGGAGGTTTTTTGATTTCCCAATGTTGGAATTCTGTGGTAGTCATTCATCCAGGCACTAATCAGATCCTGTCTGCTTAACTGCTAACTCTAGCCAAGATCAGCCAAATGCTGCCACTTGCGAAGGCTTAGAAGTAATAAATGGCCTGAAATTGGATAGTAGGAAGCAACCTCAGGAGCTTCTAAAGAAAATGTGCCCAGATGACCCCAAAATTTGTCCCCTCTCCTCCAAGCTAGACAAATTAATGGGTTTGATTTGGCAGACATCAGCTTTATATGTTCAAAGTGTATGTTAAGAAAATGTTCTACTTAATTAATGGGCTACATTGCTAGAGAGGGGCAAGAGAGTGGTGAGATCTGTTCTTTTCTGATAATGTTCAAGAAAAGGCTTAGCAGAGGGTAGGCCTGCTGCCTCTTTTGGCAATGAATGAAACACCTCTGATCCACACATTGATTTTAGTGCAGCCTCTTTGTAATTTTAGTCTGTCTACAAGCAGTTTGCTCTTTCCCACCCAAAGGAGGCATACTACAGACAGACAGACAAATCAGGAACAGAAAAGCATTTGTGTTTTAGGAGAGAAGAGATGGTGTCTTGTATCTGGGAAGTGTGTAATTTTCCTGACTGTTGTAGTGCCAGACAAAGAAACCAACAAAGTCACTGTAAGAGGAAGGAATGGTGACTCTGGTTTCCCAGCTATTGTCAGTGATAGTTAGGGGAAAGTTTCTCTGCTTGTTGGTTTGCTCCTAATCCCTTGAGCGAGTAAACCATCCCCAGATTAATGGTTCCAAGCAGGGGACTGATGACAGTTTGGGATTCCCTGTTTTAGATTACAGTTTTTTCCTCTATCTTTCCCTCCCTCTTTCAGCCAGGCTACTTCAATCATTGCTGGTGTAGTGGGTGCTGCACTTGCCCTAGTACTGTTGCTTCTTACTGTTATTTGCATCAATCGACGGAAGCAGCAAGAGAGGAAACATGCAATGAGGCGTCTTCTGCAGGAAACTGAGGTATAGTTGGCAGTTGTCACCCCTTCTTTTAGTAATGGAGTGGGGGGAGGTAAAATAGAACCCCCTGACCCATGGTCACCCCGTGCCAGACCTCCTAAGGCCTTTCGTGACCCATGTGCAGCCTGCACCGATCCTCCCCCACCCTTCCCAATCCATGCATGGCCTCAACCAGCCCTCCCAAGACCTCCCCCAACCCCCTCCAGCACCCCCCCCCACTCCTTGCCTGGGAATCCCACCTCTTCCTGCTTAATGACCCACATGGTCCTGGTGTCGTGACAGCACCTGGGACTGCAGGGATTGCTGTTGCTAAACAATGTGGTCATATGGCATTGCGCTTTACAACTACATCACTTAGCGACAGCAATCTCGATCCCAATTGCTGTCGTAACCCAAGGACTACCTGAATTGAGTGCTGGGAACAAATAGGTGTGGAGGGACTTTATATTCTGTTTCCAGATGTATTACAAGTATGTGGTTGGTCACTGTTAAAACCAAAAAAGCTGACTTCTTATTCCCTAAACTCATAAAGCTTCTACAACAGAGATGTTTCAACAATTCTGAAGGATACCAAGCACTGTTTTTGTTTTCATTTACCTTTGTGTCATCTAGAAAATGTTGGTATATTCTTGCATTGGAAATTTACTGACAGAAATACATTTATCTCCTTTTTTATCCCCTCATTCTTATGTCTTGGTTTCTTTCTGTGACTTTGCTAGTTAGTGGAGCCTTTGACCCCCAGTGGAGCTCTTCCAAACCAGGCTCAGATGCGTATTCTCAAGGAGACAGAACTGAAAAAAGTCAAGGTTTTGGGGTCAGGTGCTTTTGGAACTGTGTATAAGGTGAGGAAAACAGGGATTGAGAATTACTTAGTTAAATTTGGGCAAATGGCAGGGGAGGCTTTGGTTGGCAATAATTTGAAGACCACCTCAAGAAATTCAGAGCATCTCCCCTCTTTCCCTCACTCCCCAAACCCTTTGAAGACAACCTCTGGTCTTCACTGGCACCAGCCTTGAAACACTGAAAACACAACATGAATCAACCAGTGTTCTTCCCAGTTGACCAAGGGAAGAGCACAAAAAACAGCCCACAACTAATAGCCCATTCCCTACAGAAATTTCTTTCTGCTGTGTCTGTCTGATGCTTTCTAAAACTGAAAGAAACATGAGTAGTTGTCTATGATAGGGAAAGGCACCATCCTTCTGCTCAGTTTAAAAGATTATAGAAGTACTGGTATGAAGCAATAATGGCTGAACTGCTATAGGAGTTGAGAGGTATGATAAACCCAGATTTCCCACTGATGAGAAAAATGGCCCACCCTCCAAGTTTTGCAGGCTTCAATATCTCTAAAGAAAAACTGGCTTCACTGTGATTATCGATGCACCATATTCTAGCTGGAAATTGGCTCAGCTGCTGAACAGATAAAATATTGTGAGATCACAGAGATGTGGTGCTGATGTGGGACCCTCACTGTAACTATGTATGGAGTGTCCTTGGAATCAACAAAAAATGTGCAAGTTCTCTGCAATTTGAAGAACTATCTTGAATGCTGTTAAAGTATGTGCTATAGTGCCTTCTTGACTTCATTCAATTTGCAAAGAGAAGGGGATTGAACCAGAGCAGAAAGGAACCAAGTATGGAGCTATCCTTGCCAATCAGTGCTGCTCTGCCATCTATTTGACAGTGTATGTTCACTCTTTCTGGCTGTTCCACTTGCCCTGGGATCAGTCTTCATTGTGTGGAATTGCAGAAACCATATTCTTGGCTAGCCTTTTCCAACCTGGAACTGGTCAGGCAAATTGAAGTATAACTCCCATCCTTTCCTGTCAGCATGGTTTGAGCATATTTAGTTCTATTCATCAGTGTATTTCTACACCATGCTATAGTATTATCATAATATGGTATGATTCCTGTTCTACTCTTTTTAGGTTTTTTGCCAAATTTATCATTTTATCAGTCAGAAGTTCTCATTCAGTAGAGGTCTTCAAACAGAGACTGGATGGTTATCCCTCAGAGGTGCTTTAGTGCAGTGTTTCTCAACCTTGGCAACTTTTAAGATGTGTGGATTTCAACTCCCAGAAT